GGCGCTTTTGCTTTTGCTTTCTGCCTTCTGATTCTACTTCTGCTTCCGCTAACTGCTTTCTTTGCTTTCTCACTGGCTCTCTTCACTTTCTCCGCGCTCTGCCTTCTTCGCTTTCTTCGTTTGATTCGCTAGGATTTGTTTAGGGTTATCTTTTTGCATTTTGTTACATTTGTGTAGGATGCAGGAGTGCTGAGGTTCATGTTTTTTGTATCGTTCAATGTTACTTTGTAATTTCTCTCCGCTCGCTCTTCGCTTTGTATATTTGCTTTAGTTTTCAACAAGGAAATCAAAGGATGCTCGCTTTTTGCTTAGTAAGGATACACAATAAATATTCGCTTTCCAGGCAAAACCTAAAATGGAGGAGTGCCAAAAACAGGAGGGGTTGCATTTTCTTTTACATTCGGTTTCGGCTTTGGCCTCTTTGAACCCCGGAGTCCTGCGGCACATTTGTCTATTTTTTAGCAAGTATTTTATTTCATTTCTTTACACATGTACTTGTATTTTTTTGTGGTTTTTGTATTTTGTTTTTGTTCAGGTCCAAAATCAAATTTGACTAATTTAAGGAATTAAAGTTTCATTGCATCTAAATAAGGTAAAGTGTACTTTGTTTAATATTATTATCTTATTATTTGCATAAATTTCCTTTCAATAATAGAAACGAAACAAAAAACTTAAACAAAATTCCACTATGGCTCATCTACTTCTTCTCGCTCTCTTTCTTCTGCTCCTCATCTCGGATTCTCCAATCCTCCTGCTTTCTTTCGAGCCTCGAAGTTCGAAAGAGACGGAATACTAGTTTTAACTAAATAAACGGAATTTAACACAAAATCCTTGGCACGGTGCACCCTGTGCTTTGCTCCTCGATCGAGGGCGGGGGTGGTGGGCGTGTCCCTGGGCCGGTCGGGGCGTGGTCAACGCCTTTACCTGAGCAGCAGAAATTCTTCTATGTGAGTAGACGCGACCACGCCCAGCCGCGGTTTCAGGACTCCCGTCCCGCCCCCCAGAGCAAGGACCTCCAGGGCGACCAGTGCCAGTGTGTTGGTGTGTGTACGTGTACGTGTGTCGGTGTGTGGGTGAGTGAGTATGAGTGAGTGTGTGTGAGTGTGGGTATGAAATACTTATAACGAAACATACAAGGATCAATGTCCAATAGATTATTAAATAGTACAATGAAAACTTCATATACAATATATGCCATATATAATAGATACTCGATATACGATACTCGCAGTGCGTAATGCGTAATAATGCAATAATAATAGCCAAGATCAATATACGTTAAAAGATATACATGTATAAGGTCCCTACAATATGGTATTCCTCTGTATTCTAGCGGCTTTTTATTATTTTTTTTTTGTTTTATTGAGCTGGGGTTTTCATTTTTGGGGCGATGTGGGAGTGGCAGCTTCGATATTTTTTGGCAGCGTTCTTGGTCTATATTTATATGAGTATGTATAATATTTAAACGGGGAAACGTTAAAAGTTTGCATAAATTTAGTTTAGTTTACTTGATTTAGTTGTAGTTTAGTCTGAGATTGCATGCATTTTGATGTATGTATGGTATTTGCTTAGGTAATTATTTGTTATCTTCTTTGCCTTTGTATAATAAATTGCTCTTGAATTTTACTATTAAAATTTCTCATAACTCGCCATTAAAAAAATGCTCGTTTCGTTTTGCTCTTCTTCGATTTTTGTTTTTGTTTTGTGGAGTGTATAAGTGATTTTCATAATATTTTCGTTAGTTTTGCTTTTGGTTTTGTCGTCATTTAACATTTATATGTATATTTGTAAGAATTAAACTAGAAAAATTCTAATCTGAGGTAATTATTCCATTAATTTGTATTCGTGTGAGTGTGTGTTAAGAGAGTGAGTATAATGATGCCCCCCCTTCGTTTCCGAAAAGGGGGTTAGTTGGGAAGCGTGCTTAGCCTAGAGCTTAGAATTCTATGCCTGGGGGTCCTTAGGGGACCCGAAGCGGTTCTACTTAGCGAGTGATTAACTTTTATGTCCTCGAGGCAGCCACAAAAATGTTCTTTGTTAATTTTGATTAACTTAGGGGAATCTTTGTCGAATGCCGGATTGTGTAAATTTCGTCACAGTTATGAGTTATCGAAAAGTGCATGATTGTTTCTCGTGGAAGAACTAAACCTAAGCTTACCGAATTACTCGTACAGTATCCAAAATAGACGATCGAATTCGATTCCTATGCGAATTTTACAAATTTCAAGCCAAAAAATATACCACATATATACCACATTTCCTTAAATTTCATTTGATTTCAGATCATCTTTAATGCGCTCACAGTTGGTGTTCCGAATCCGAGTTTTCAAGTTTTCGAGTCTAAATACAAGTATATATAATCCTTAATCTCTTTCGAACTTAAGTGCTAAGCCAATGCTCACAGATGTTGAGTTTCCTTCGCGTTTTTCTTCTTCCCTATCAAATTTCAAATTTCAAAGTCAAATTTAAATACAAATTCAATTTCGATTTTGCAATTACCAATTAAATATCACATATCGGGGAGCTCTTTTCAATCGGAAATCAAGTGAATCCAAATGCAAGTTCAAATCAAAGTGTTGCAAAATGATTGTTAATGATGCCAATTGTAGTGCTTATCAACTATTTTGTGGCTGTCCTGCTTTTCTGATCGATCGCTTAGCCTAAATGATTCGTTTCGAATGATTCGATTGGAATGATTTGATTTGCTTTGGTGTTGTCTTCTTGCGCGTGACTGTAACCCTAAATGGAATGCGATGAATGCGAGTGGGGTCCTGAGACTGTGGCAGTGTGTGTGTGTCCTGTTTTTGAGTGAGTGTGTGAGTGTGTGTGTGATGACTGACGTGACTGGAGATGAGTTGGTGTCGCATGGAGATGGAGATGATGATTCTACTCGTAATACGTATTCAAATTTACACTGAAAGTCCTTCATCTCTGCTTCTAAATCCTCTCTGTTCTTCGCTTCTCAAACTTTTATCTTCTATTTTCGATCATCGATCACCGATCACCGATCTTCGATTTTCGCTTTTCGTTTTTGGTTCTGCATCTGAGGTATTGTCGGGTGCTAAAGAGCCACACACTCGGCTACAAACGTTTCAACAATGAGGTAGAAAGTTCTGTTTGCTTTTGTTGCTTCGTAGTTAGTCTCTGTGTTCGCTGGAAGTCCTTGAATTCTTGATTAGTTCGCATACCTGAATTGCTTGGATGTTCTTTCTATATAGTACTTATGCTTTATCATCTTGCCTTGGAGTTTGTTATTTAGTCAGTCAGTCTTGGATCACGTTTCAAATATCGACACACACGCGCACAGGATCAGTCCTTCGGTTATCGCTTTCGCTTATCGCTTCCTTATCCCTATATACTATTTCAAATACTCGTGAGGCTTAGGTTAGTCTAGTCTAGTCTAGTCTAGTTAATACATGATCCTACAGAGAACAAAACACAACATCGAGGGTTATAAGTTAAAAACGAACTGCGGGCACTGCTAAAACCTAAGTACAACACATAGACACGACTTGGACTGGTGACTTATAGCGAAATAAATGGCAACGATTGTTCGACAATTCATACTCCACATCAGCACGGGTGCGCCTCAAAAAAGATATATAATATAATATATAGATAAGTATAGTGTGGTGTCAGTGTGTGGTGTGCTGTGGCATAGTGTTTCCTACGATATACTCTATTCGCTAAATCAAAAAGCCCAGAGGCGGCGAGTTGGGGCTTCCGCAGTGGTTGGCTGCCTTTTGGGGCCTTCGCTCGTATTGCTTGCTCAACACTCCATTTTTGGCCAGTAGGGCCTGTAGTAATATTCTGATAATATCTGATCTGATCAACCGACTGTTGGTCCACTTAACCAGCGGTTCGTCACACATCGGTCCTGCTCTGCTCGCACTCGCTGCTGCTTAAACGCTACGTAACTCTAGGGATAATTCCAATATAATACTCAATACAATACCAATACCGATACCAATAGCAAATGCGGATACGAAATATAGTAAAGTAAACCAAGTTCGTTTCCAGCAAAACCTGTGCGATGCCAAAATGCCAAAGTTGCAACTAAGGGTCCGATCGTACTCGCATATGTATCTTCTTGACTCGCGCTACCGAATAAAATACACTTAGGTGCTAAACAAGTGCAGCCCTCCTGGCGAACTAAGGTTAAGGTTAAAGGTTAAACGTCAAAGAAACTGGGGACCTGGGGGGTATTACGATAGGTATTAGGAATTACGAAGAATTGATTTAAGGTTTGTACTTTGGCATGAAATCTTCAACTTAACGAGAACAAACGTGAACAAAAATTCGACTACAACATTGACCATCTCGTCTCACTTTTCCATCTGCCCAGCTGCTTTCTGCGCTTTCAACTCAAAATTCAACTAAGAAATTGATTTAGTGCATCAGGGGACGCAGGTAACTCAGTAAGCAAGTTAGCTAAAGAACAACGGAAAGGAATGGAAAGGAAAGGGTATAATCCAAATTGATGGGGGGAGGGAACGATGGGGGGGTGGGGGAGGTCTAAATCGTAAATAAATCGTTGCATATCAACCATACAACCGGGTGTTCTAAGCTATCTGTTTAAAAGCTGCGATTAACATGTTCCTACGTCGAGTAAAATATGTACTTGTGTAACTAAGACTCTATCGATGTGACTAACTGAGGTAGCTGCTAAACTAAGTCGCGATCGGAGGAAACTGGATCGGGAACCAAGTCGATGGGTAGTTTCCTACCAGATGCTAAGCAATACATTGCGGTAAAGGTTTCCTGCCTCCTCCTTCTAGTCGGCAGTTTGTCGTCCGGCATTTAGTTAATCCATTTTCATGGGCAGTTTATCAATGCAGTTGCAACCGAAAAAAAGAGAACCGAACATAATATGGGGTGGTAAATAAAACGAATAAAAAATTATTAAAAATATTTCATTTAATCATTTGAAAATTCAACAAAAATTCAATATTAATTGTAGTAATAATAATAGCAGAAAGTAAAGTAATTTTTGTCCTTTTTCGTTTTTATTGAAATACAATTAAATTTATTTAGTTTTCCATACGGAGTACGAATAATAATAATAAAAATCAACTAAAATATTCAACTAAATTACATTAAAAGTAGACATTCAAGTTGAATTGCCAAAATGTGTAGGAGAGGAGGAGCGAAGTGGGGAGGGGCAATACAACACTGGGCGAGGGATGGATTCCTTTGGGGGATCTCGGGGTTAAGGGATTCGTGTATAACATAAAAAGGTACAAAGTATACATATATTACACATTACGAATTAGGCATAAACAAAAGTGTGCTAAGTGTGTATATTTAAATAAACAAAAATGACGTTCGGGTAGCAATAAAATCAATCTATAAATTTGGTGGATGGGAGGGGGATTAAAGTGGGGTTCGGGGTGAGTTTTGTGGGAAATATCTGCTGCGCTTCGATATATAGTATATTGCCTTGGATTTTGGAAATCGGAGGATCGCGGTTGAAAGTGCCTAAACTTCACCAATTTGTACATTTCGTCATCAGATGATCTGAGAGAGCTCGGAGGGAGCCATCAAAAATTGGTTTTTAAGAATTTCGGTTAAAGTTTAAACATTTTGCTGCTGCTTCTGCTTCTTCGTCTTCTTTTCTGGGTTCTACACGGATTTTGGCATTATCCAGTGACTGAAGATCGTCAAAAGATTGAAAAGGGGTGGAAAGGCGCGCAAATATTTCATTCGTTTAACATAAAATAAAGGTTTTTATTGAGTACAAATTATGAACTAAACAAAAACTGCTTTTCATTGTTTATCAATTGATTACTCGATTTAAACGTACATATTTTGTTTTACTTTGCCTTGATTTACCATAGTTTAATATGCATTTAGAAAACATTGTTATTCGTTATCGTTATTTGTTATTGATTTTTGCTAAGGAGGTAATATAAATTACATTTTAATGTGTTTTACTCTCGCTCAATCGCCGTATCTTCCTCATTACTTAAAGACTTCTACTAAGTTATTCATTCGTCGTACCCTAGAGTACGACTCATTAGAGTTAGTTGTGATCGGAAGTCTGACTATTACTGTTTAGGGGCTATATGTTTGCGGTTCTGTTCTGTTCTGTTCCGTTCGATTCAAATCGATTCGATACGATTTCTCCTTCTCTTCCTGGTGGCTGAGGTGGGCATAAGTTTGTGGTTTCTCTCGACTGGACGCGATCGAGGCTTCGTCCTAGCACATTTAACTAAAACAAACGTGGAATCAAACTAAACACGGGCTGACTTACGTAGTAGTTGGTGGTGCGGGTGCTGCTGCCTTTCGGGGGCAACCTTAGCTTGCGTAGAACTTATTACCAATATGTTTTTTGTAGTGTAGTGTAGGGCTAAGGGTTACTCCAATTAAATATCTATATAACTATATGCTGTATCTGTGTGTCGTGTGTCATGTTTGTGTGTTGTGGGTTGCCTATAAATAATTCTCTTCCTCTCCTTCTCCTGCGCGTACGTGTATGTTAGATTAAAACCTTAAATTTAGACGAAAATTATATATAACTGTGCCAAAACTTATATATAATCCTCTCAAGTAAATGCCAAAAGTGTTGCTCGTCGTTAGTTCCTATCAATTTAGGTTTAGGTTTAAGGTTTTAGGTTTTAGGTTTAGGTTTAAGGTTTAGGTTAGTATGGTGTAGCTTTAAAGGGTATTTGGGTATGTACTTATAAACTTAACGGTAGTTCTATATAAGTAGGCATAACGAAGACTCCTCGTTACTGTAGGTCTTGTATACAAAAAAAAGATTTACTATCACTCAGTTGTCCCTTCATGCGTTCTGAAAAATTGTCGTTAAATTAACGTGTATTATTTGGTATGTAAAATGGCGGCAATGCTAAATGCCCAAAAGGAGGCGATCAATTTGTATTACTGGAAAAAGTGCGGCACATGAAACTCCTGAAGATCCCATTCCTAAGCCCTGGGGTGTTGTATTTCAAGCAGATCCCCCACCAAAAGTCACCAAAGTGGGATAAGGGGATGGGGATTGGGTTTTCACAGATATTCGAGGATGGTTTTTGGAATTCTTTTCGAAAAAATTCCAGGCAATGCCTTGATTGAAACACAGAAACGTATATATCACTGTACTGAAAACTTTTAAAATAACCGAAAAACGAAAGGGAAAACTTTCTTATCCTAGAGGCATTCACAATTGCTTTCGGGTTGGGGTTTTAAATTTTTCTCAAAAATTATTCCTTCCGAAGGACAATTCACAGTGATACAAATACATTTTCGATGTTCACAGGGGATGAGCAAATCGGAGTTGTCACAGTTTGGCTGTCTTAGTGGAGGCAATTTTGGTTTGGGGTTTGGGTTTATACATTTTCTGAAAATGTTTGTTTTCAACTGGGTTTCACAAGGGTTTTTTTTGGGGCGTGGCCTATGCACAATAGGAAGTTTAGAATTTTTTATAAAAATTTCGATTCTTTCGAAGAGTCACAGTGAAGGTTTAAAAAAGTGCCGAGCCTTCTCACTTGTATCTAGTTTCTCCAATGGGAAAACACTTCGGAGAAGACCCGGCACTCTGCTCACAGATGATTTGACGAAACTTACTGGGTCTAAGTTTTAGGGTTCGTATCGAACACGGGGAAATCAGGGAAAGGGGTTACATAACACAGTTCATGCTGATCGATTTTAGGGTTCAGGGTGCCTAAACAATTCTCACAGTTGGGTGACATATCAATGGGGTTTTTCTTTAAATTGTATTTAAATTTCACACAGAATTTCAAAATCCGAAACGAAGAGAACCGAAGAGGCGAAAGGTAACACAGTTTCGACTGATCTTGTTCAAGGTTTAGCTTGCCTAAACGTCTTTTCACAGATGTGGGTAATATCAAGGGGTTTTTACTTTTAATTTCATTAAAAACTTCACAGAATTTAAAACCGGGAAATAAAACAACATAAATGAAAAATCTAACACAGAATCGGTGAGTTTTGCTGATTGTTTTTAGGGTTCAGGTTGCCTAAACTGTTTTCACAGATGTTTGTAATATCAAAGGGGTTTTACTTTCAATTTTATTAAAACTTTCACAGATAGGAAAAATATCAAGTTGGGTTTTGCTTTCAATTGAATTAAAAATGTCACAAAGCAGAAAAAGATTTTCAGAATCTAACACAGAATATATTTTAGGGTTTAGGCTGCCCAAACACTTTCTACGCAGAAGTTGGTTTGGTTTCAATTTTAATTTTATTAAAATGTTCACATTTCAAAGGGGTTAAGAGAAGGATTTGGGAAACAGGATAGGGATTTATCCCCAGGGATTTGGTGACTTTTCTATGCACGGAATAAACACAAAACAGGAAACATTGAACCGCTCTATAAATTGTTTGGATGTTTGCTTGCAAACCGTATTTAAAATTTAGAAAAACCGACCTTAAGCCTACTAACCTATCGATAGTGAGTGCCTGCATGTGACCTCGATTCACCAGGCCGCAGGTCACTCCACCTTTAGAGATCCATTACCATCCATGGGCTGCTCTGCTTTCAAGACGAACAGAAGAACCCTAAACATATACAAAGAATATCGCTATAGCCTAACACTTACACTTAATAATTAATGATCACGCTGCGCCGAAAGAAGTTGTATTATATTCTCTTGTTTTCGAGGACTTAACTAATAGAGTTTGGGGGCGTGGGCGGGGGTGGGCTGCTTGAAATACTCCTGAAGGGGAAGGGTGACCTCGTTGCATGTGCCGCCTGGCTGTTGTTTGTGTGTGTAAGTGGGTGGGTGGTGGGTGGCTTGACAGGGGTTGAATTACCTTGAGGACCTAACTGAACTGTGCTGAACTGGAGAGAGAAACTTAATCGGTTCTAGAGGTTCTGGTTCCGCTCACTAAAACTAGGAATAATTACCAATCGCTTAGGTAAAGATGTGCAACTTATCGAATATGTTTTGTTAAATTTAGGTTTGTAATTTTACGTTTCATAAATTGTAGCAAATGTTTCATGTTCTCCCCTTCTCTTCCTTCTTTGCTCTCCTACTCTACTCCTTCTACTCCCTTTTGCTTCGTCCTTTTTGTGTTATTGAGCAGCACAGCAATTATCATGATTTGTTTAAACAATTTAATGCCCTGCCTTCAATTTTCGCTAAATAAAATGTTCCTCAATCGTGATGTAAATGTTACTTTTTGTCACTCCTCTTCTACGTTTGCATCTTTTCTCGTTTTCCCTTTTTTTTTTTGGTTTTACATTTCGCTTTGTTTTTTTTTTTTGGTAAAATGTATAAAAAATTTGCTTTATAAAATAAAACTAAAAATTGCTTTTTTCGTTTAGGTAGGTGTGTAAACAAGAACTAAAAAACTCAACAAAAATAACAAGAAAATTGTTTTTAGTTTGCAGTGTTTTCTCTCGGTTTTAGATGTGTGTGTGTGTTGTGATTGTATAAAAATCAAATGATCGTATAAAAACTAAAACTTTCGCTCCAAGATTCGCTTGGATCTCAATGCTTCTCCTCCTCCTGCTTACTCTTTTATCGTATCTTGTTTTTTCTGTAATTTATCTAGAGTAACAAATGCTGCAGGCTCCTAATCCTCCGTCCTAGTTCATGTTGAGATAGTCGTTGAAGAGCTGCATGCACGCAGCTGCGCCGCCGGTGGGCTCCTCGTTGTAGAGCTGGCTGGCGTACTCCGGGAACCGCCAGATGTTGGCCGCCTCCAGGAGCTCCCCGGCCGACGAGGAGGAGTTCGAGCTGACGTCCGAGGCATCGGCCTGCTTGGCCTGCTGGCCGCCGGTGTCCTGGCTAATGCTCAGGTTGCACAGGAGATCGGTGAAGATGTCGTGGCTGCCGCCGGCTGCCGGAGTCCTTTGTCCGGCGGATCCCGGCAGCTCCCAAATGTTCGGCTTGCCGTAGTGCGAGGCGCTCCACCCGTTCGAGGAGGAGCTGGAACTGGTCAGCGAGGCCGTCGGCGAGGCTGCGTGTGGCAGTGGCTGCTGCACCTGCTGCTGCTGCTGCTGTTGCAACTCCTTGAATCCATCCCTGAGTGTGGCAGCACTGGGGGCCTGCGGCGATCCCTGGGCCGCCCACAACATCATCTTGGAGCCGTCGTTGCCGTGGCTGCTGGCCGTGGGACTCAGCGAGGGCTGCGATCCGCTGCCCGAGGAGCAGCCGCTGCTGCTGCTGCTGCAGCCCCACAGCGCCGAGATGGCGTCGCTCTGGCCCCAGTTGGGCTGCACCTTGCTGCCCGGATTGCTGGCTGAATTATGGCTAATTATTAAGTTACTAATACTGCTGCTGCTGCTGTTGCCGCTGTTTGTGTTTGTGTTCGTCAGCAGAAGGCCCTCGAGTCCCTTCTGTGTTGCATGTTGCTGCTGGCGCTGTTGTTGTTGCTGTTGTGGCTGCTGCTGCTGTTGTTGCTGCTGCTGCTGTTGGTACTTGCTCATCACATCTGCCATGGCCATCATGTTCATGCTCTTCTGCGACTGCTGCTGGAAGTTGGCCCTCTGGAAAGTGGCAACCGCAGGCTGATGTTGCTGTTGCTGCTGCTGTTGCTGTTGCTGCTGTTGTTGCTGCTGCTGCTGCTGTTGCGGTTGCTGCTGCTGCTGGCGCACCTGCTGCTGGTGCTGCTGGGCATGGGGATGGGCTCCGATCAGGTCCGGGTTGATCTGCTGCTGCAGCGGGGCCGAGTAGTCGATGGCGGCGTTGAAGAGCGGCTGCTTCGCTGGCTGCTTGATGGAGATGATGGAGCTGCAGCCGGAGGCCGTTGGAGCGCCCTGGGCATTCGGCACCTGGGTGGCGGTGGCACCTGTTCCCACGGGCGACTCCAACGGGGCCTCATGTTATGCGAGCGTCGGCAGCCGCGCCGCCGGGCTCTTGGCGTAGCAGAAGCTCAGCGGCTTCACGAAGTGCGTGTCCTGCGTGTTGCAGTACGGGCAGGTCACCCCGTGCGAGTAGTCGCTGTAGAAGCTCAGCCTCTGCTGCGGGTGCATCAGCATCTTGAAGCAGTTATTGCACTGGGAATTGAAGGGGAGAAAACGAAAAGGGGGGAAATTAAAATGATTTTCATGCAAAGTGTCTTGAATTTCCTGTGATTTACTTAGCATAAAGCCATAGTAAACTAAGAAAAAGCATTTCTTATGACCTAATATAGAGGGTATGTGGCAAGAACTCACCTTGAACCTCTCGGAGCAGCAGGGCATGGCCGCAAAGATGTCGTACGCGTACATGGTGCCCAGGACCAGGCTCGATCCGTCCCAGGGTTCCTTGCAGAATCTGTGGGCGATGCAGAAAGCACAAATTTATCGTTCACGCACTCATTTCCCATTCAGATTGCAGATTTCTCCGCTGCGATGCTCACCTGCAGTTGATGACGCGGCTGCTGGAGGTTCCGTCCAGGCAGCTCATGCAAACACAGGTCAAGTAGAGAGTGCGTCCCTCGTATTTAACCTGGAGTGGAGAGAGAGGAGTGGAGTCAGGGGTGTGAGAAAGCGGAAGCGGTGAAAAAGGTGCAGACAAAAGGACAAAAAGGGGCAGGAACAGCCGCATAATTCAGGCAGGAGCCCAGGGGCCACGCCAACCAGACACTCCAACAATGAAAAATTATGGCAGGAAAAGGAATGAATTGCAGGGGAGACTTCAAAGCCCCGGAATACACTTTGCCAAAAAATACATGGGAATATACATAAATGATGGCAAGAGACTTTTATTTAATAAAAACTTCTTTGGATGATATTATTTTAAGTCCAAGAAAGCGCTTTCAACTGCTAATTTTGAAAGATGTTTGCAATTGGAGTGTTATTCTTCTGTACTATTATGAAAAACTGCAAAGCAATCCCTCGAAATTTCTTTGGACAAATCCGCAAAAAGAGTTTGTTTTATTGCCAACAAAGTTACAAAGGAGTTGTACGGACTTTTCCCCACTCAAATACCCTTCTCCTTACCCGCCATGGCAAATAAGCCGCAAGTTAGCAAACTGCCCGCTTTGTTAGGGTATCAGCTTTCCACTTTTGTCGAAGGGCGAGGAAGCGAAGAAGCGAGGGGCTTTTTCCCAGAGAACCGAGCGCATTCTTGCATGCCTGACAAAAGGCCAAGAGGACTGAGGATTTAAGGGGGGAGGAGGAAAAGGGGAACTGCCATTGCGACGCGACATAATAATTTCAAATAAAATGCAAAATGCATAAACTTGCCCAGGAGATTGCCGCTGCCGCCCACGAACAGTGGAACAGAGGAGCGGAGTCAAAGTCAAGGGGAAGTGGCAGGCAGAGGCATACAAAGGAGCCAATTCCAATTGCAGCAGCAGCAGCTGGCAATGAATTATAAATCCAGGCTTAATTTAAAGCCCCAGAAGTGGGGGAAGTCGGGGAACTTGGGGAACTTGGGAGGCGAGACTGACAGGCAGCTAGGAAAAGCATGGAAAGGCAGGGAAAACATGAAGCCCATGGAAGCGTAGGTCGTGCGTGCAGTTCAGTTCCTCCTCAACCTAAAATGCTAAATGCAAAATGTGCAATGTGGAGTCCGCAGCAACTGCAAACTGCAAACGGCAAACTGCAGTTTTTCCCGGCTCTTCTTTGGGCGCTGGCGTAATTACGCTGACTTAAATGGGTCATAAATTGCGGGGTCTGTCTGTCCCCAGCAGAAAAAAAAAAAAAAAAAAGAGGGAGTGGCATGAGGGGAAGGCGGAGTTCGCCCGCTAATTGCAGCTGAAAGTTCTCGGGGCACGTGGGCGAGTGAAAGCTGCGTGGTCGTGGGTGCGGAAGAGGTTGCCATGCCACATTTGACGTTTTATAAATGATGGCTACACACAGAGAATAGAGCTAGTGCGATTTGGTTTTAGACTTTTACACATTTTGATATTGAGATTCAAGGCTTATAAGGGGTATCTAAATCTTTAAGGACTAGTTAGCTTTACTTACCTCAATGCAGCCACTGGAATGCTGCTTGGGACTCAAGAAGAAGGATCCGTCGACCAGTGGATAGCGATCGAAGACGAGCAGCGGCTCCTCGCACAAAATGCAGGCCACCCGGCTCATTTGGGATTGGGCCAGCGAGGAGAGGATGAAGAGGCGCGTCTCATCGTTGCCGTGGTTGCCCTCGTCCTCAATCTGGAAAAGCGATAAAAAAAATTACAATTAAATAAGTACTTCATTAGGGTTTACTAAACAGAATAACATACAACAAAGTAGAACAGCAGGAATTTAAAGCTATAAACATATTTAAATAAGCTTGTTTCCCCTTCGAAGCAAAAAACCCTTTAGCATATTGAAAAGCCAAATTAAATAAGAGTTCGTTTACCCGCCTCCGAATCCAAGGTGGCTGGGCTGTCCAATGAACATCTCCAATAGATGTCTGCCGAGGGACCGAGGCACCGAGCGAGCGGAGCAACCAGCCAGCGTCTAAGCGCCAACAAATGAACCATAAAATCCAAACGTGCCGGCGAAAACAGAAAACAGAGCGGGCAGAGCAACACGGAGCTGTTGTCTAAGCCAAAGTGGCTAACACGTTGCCCAAATTGAATGCACACAAGAGCACACAGCTAGCCAGGTGTGTAGCCGAGTTAAGTCGGCGAGTCCAGGCCAATTCCCAAATCGATAATCAATACGGCGAGCCGGCAGATGGAACCGCCCACCCACTCCCATTCTATTCCACCTTCTGCCAGTAATAAAGCCGTCAAAAAGCCAAGAGGTGTCGAAAGGATCCACGAAATATGGCCAAGGTGGGAATAGTTGGGGCCACCGCCAATCAGAGCCAACTAACCCAATGATGAGGGAATATTTGTGACTCTGTTTGGGTAATTGACGATGGTCCGGCACCTGACCAGACGGACTAACAGCACTCAGACATTACTATGCTATATATACACGATATACACGGTATACTGTATACTGTAAGGTTGAATAATTTAGCGGAATGACATTGGAATGCTCCGGAATTACGGCAAAGGACACGTAGAACCAATCAATTGCAGCTGAGGAATGTCTTTCTGGGACAGGTTTAATGCACTTTTAATATGCTCGAGATCTGGGGAGCGAGCGAAACTCCCCTGGAAACTTTTGTCAACATTTGCCCAGAACTTTTGTTCCCGCTTCGAGAAAGAAAAGAAAAGAGAAGATGCCAGTCTCCTTGGACCCGCCTCTTAAGCCGAATAATCAACAAATTAATATTTGCACGGGGCCCACATCGCACTGTTTGTTTGCCGACTTCTCGGGGACCAGAGCTCATAAATCTTGGCAACAATAAAATCAACTCCCAACATTGTTTCGGAACAACAGATTCGATTAACGAGTGTTTGCATGCCGAAAAGGGGAGGCGGCAGCGGAGATTTTCCCCGCCCGGCAGAGAAGTAAGCGATACGGGGCACAATTTTCACTCATTAAACAAAAGAATCCCGGCCGAACGAGCGGCGGGGTGAGTCGCCAAAGCAATTAAGTTGATTGCTCAAGGAGAATGCGGCGTATCTGTGGGTGAGTGGTGCTCGTCTGGGATTACGGACAATAACAATAACCCAGATAGCAGAGCAGAGCCAACTGCAGCAATAATCTTTTCTCCTCTCGTGGCTCCTTACATGGCCAAAAGGCGGGTTAAAAGGCGGGTAAAGGCGGATAAAGGCGGGTAAAGGGATGCAGACGCACATGTTTCGCACATTCCATCAAGTTCTGGGCCCAGCTTTCTGCAGTTCTTCTCCAGGTTTCTTTTTCGGCACAGGGAAAAACTACTAAGCACTTGTACAATTTCTAAATATGCTTAATATTTTTGTAAACTTGTGTACAGAGCATCACTGGATTTTTTCTCTGTTCGAGACATTTGCCTTTCTCATGTTGGCTACGTGACGATTTGCTAATTTCATCCGAGATGACGGTCGTTGCCCAAAACAGAGAATGAACTCAGAACTCAGAACTCAGACGGGGCCAAAGGATTGAGGACTCTTCGCTCTGCGCTTCATAATTTATGAGAGTCGCGTGTGCAAAGTTTGGCAAGACCGCAGTGGAGAACTTCAGCAAATTATAAGCATGAAATTATTATTGCTGAATTTGAGATTATTTTGTGAGCGCAACAACTTTTCGTTTTCGTTCTCGTGGCCTTAGCGAAAGTCAAAAGTCGAAGTGCAATAAACTCCCCGACCGAGGACTTTATCCCGCACTATATCGGAGGATACTAATGAAGCCATTGAGTTGTCACTTCCTTTGGCTGCGGCATTGGACGCATAAATCAGGCAGCACTTCCTCCCGACCATAAATATCAACACCCGAACTCACAGGAGCCACAAATCAAAAAGGTTTCTCGCCACACCCCGAATTCGAGGCCAAAACAATGGGCCCAAGACTACGAAAACTACAATTCAATTGAATTCACTTCGATACTCTTTAGTTGGGTTCAAAGTGCTGGGCTTTTCATAAACACATTAAACTAAATGGCGTTTCTTGGCTTAAGTGCTGACGGAAGTCGGGAGCTACTTCTGCTGTTAATCCATTAAAAACGCCAGCCATAAATACTTCACTCCGAGAATTTCCCCGCCTCCTTTATGCCACTCCTTATTGTCAGCCTTTCTTGTATTTTTTGGGGGCTCCATGCAAAAGTTAATAAAAGTGTTTAATATTCCAATTCGCCTTTGAGAGTTTTCGACGACTGTTTGTGCAGACAGTGAGCAAACATGTGAGCCCCGAAAAGCCCCTCCATCACCATGTTTACCTTTCCTTTCATTGGCTTAAAGAGCAGGAACATTCCTCATTAGTCGCGTGTGGGCGTAACGCGAGGAAAAACTATTTTATTAGCCCGGAAAAACTGTTCATTCTCAATTGCCGATTGTGTGTGTGTGGAAATTGAAAAATTGTCTGCGCTTTAAATGGTTTTTCCCCACTTTCCGTAGGCGTTTTCGCCACAAAAGACAAAAGAAATGGCAGAATAAATTTGAAAATTGTCATCGGCACAACTGACAGCAGTCAGGCTCGTGCTCGTGGGCTGTTCGCTATTTTCCAAGGTGGGCGTGGCGCGGTGGTAGGTAGGCGCTTAATTTAAGCAGTGGAATAAGTTTGCTGTCTCCCAGCGAGACACTTTGATCAATGGGCCAGATGTGACCTGTGGATTAGGAGTTAAAGCCAATGACAAGCCAGCAACAATGGCACCAACAACTTCCCACTAAACCAACTAAACCAACAAGGCAACACACAGAACCCAAACAGAAGACACTGACAATGAAATGGAATGGAATTGCAGCCGGAAAATCCGGGGGAGGGACATTTGCAGCACTTTTATAAATGAAATGGAGTAATAATATTTTGCGACAACAAATGCAGCAAAGGAAAAAAAAAGAAAAACATAGCATACCGCCAGGCGCAGCTGTGCAGGATACAAGGAAACAGAAATACTGGGGCTCTGGAAAATTAGAGGGTGGTGAAAACACCAGCCGCAATGCAACCAGGCAACTGCTACACAGAGAGAAAAAATCCAAGTGTGTTCAAAATTCTAGCTAATGTTAAAATGCAATTAGATTTTTGTTTTAATAGACTTGTACATCCAAGAAATATGTTCTTGAAAGTAGTTTTACCATTAAGTATACTTTATTTTGAAATAGAATTTTTTTCCTCTGCAGAAAACATTGCAGACAAACAAACATTTCAATAAATTCAAAAAGTACCAAGCCAGACAATGAAAACTGCACCGAAACGGAGGGAGAACAAGCAAAAGGAGTGCCAAGTCAAGTCAAAGGGAAAATCCGAGGAAAGCGGGAAAGCGGGGACTGCACTCTGCTGTACAACTGTGAAGTGGCTTAAAAGCTTGTCGAGGGGTTGCAGCTCCTAAGAGGCAGCTGCTATTCGCATTCGCATTCGCATTGTTTTCCCCTGAAAATCTCATGTCATTTGCACTTAATTCAAATGCGCGACACAATTGCGAAATAAAAGTACACGAAAAAGCAGCCAAAAACTGGGGGGCAGAGCTTTGCATATCTAGTCGGGGTTTGGTTTGTCTGGGTTATAACTTCATTAGGCGGCGCAGTCGAATGTTTTTTTGATAAGCTGCTGCCTTGGCTCGGCTGTCGAGTTCAAGAAACTTTTCGCCCCCCAACTCCTGGCCATATCCTGTGCCAAGTTTTTGATGTCCGCCTGTCATAAGCAAATTTTCCTTTCACTGGAAGCTCTCCAAAAGCATTTTAATTTCTCCGCCCTCTGCGTGTGTTTTTATTTTTGCATCTTTTGCATTTGCCATTAGCCAAGTGCTTTCGATGGCCTTAAGCTGCTCTTGGCCGGCTAGTATCCTTGTGACCTTTAAATATCAATTTGCAAATAAATTGTGTTTGCCCCGAGTCCTTCTGCATTGACTGGACTTTGGGTCTCGTTATTTATCGTGCGTTCAATGTGCTATGGCATAATGGCTTTCTTCGATTGGCCAAGACCGGAGGAGAGCTTTATGTTCGGGCCAAAGCCAAAACCAAAAACAAATGCAATTTCCAATTTCATTTTTCTCCACAGCGCCTTGAAGTATGCTTTTGCCTTTTTGCACAGTTTATTGAACTGCATCCCGCCGCGAGGCTCCTTTCCCTTTTTTTCCTTTTGCCTTTTCCTTGCTCCTCCACTTTAAACTTTATTCTCGGGCATAACAATTATTTTTATATGAAAAGCAAATTTCAAAGGCATCTCCCAGACATTCGCCAGACATTGATGGTTATTGGATCCGCCGGCTCCACGCCCCCGCATTTTCCCCGCTAAGCAGGCAATTTAAATGCATTCGGTGGCAGTTAATAGTTTTATTGCGCTGCTCATGTTGAGCTTAATTGTTTAATTATTTTTTAAGGCACTCTCCCAGGGTTTTTTCGCTCCGTTTTTTCCCGCTGCACTTTACGGAGTCACAGTACATTGCTTTGATTCGAACCTAATCCCCACGACATTAGCAGCCAAAAACTAAACGAACTGAAAGCCATTTCTCCCCGGGGAAAGCCAAAGGGATCCGGAGAAGGAGTAAGTGTATCCTCTTTGGCGTAATTTCTTCCACTTAACTTAATCCCTCCTGATGCTTCGAGGCAAACAAACATATGTATCGTTTCGATTCGGGAGGTGGTGATGCAACTCACTCTTTCTTTTATGTAATAGAAGAGGAGGGGTTTCTATTT